TATTCTACAAGAGCCCAAGGGAGATGGTGGTTTCTTTCTTCACTTCTGTTGTCACTCCATTTCTGTAAAAGATCATGGACAAGGGAAAATTATTAACCGAAAAAGTTATAGATCTAGTATGGTTCAGGTATTTTTAAATCAATCAGACTCAGTTCAGTTTTCGCCTCCAGCTTAATCAGATGAGAATAATGACTGTGTGGTATGAAGGCCTATTTTCGCGTGACAACGGGACTTCCAACGGGCATGGAAAATCGAGGATTCAGCCAAATCACAGCAATGCTTCGAATACTGAGTAGAAGAGTTTTCATTGCCATGATGTACCTCCAGGCACACGCGAAGATACTAAGATATGCTCAAAAATAATTTCTTACCGGCCCAAACACAAATTGCCGAAGCCAAAAAACCCTAAAAAAAGCCCATATTCCTCCCAATCTCAGACGCACAACTATTAAAGAGAGTCGAGAAAACGAAGAAGCACAGGTGAAGCGTGCACCTTTCCGGACGCTACCATCTGGATAGACGGGAGTGCACCGGCCCAGCTGGGGGCTCCCCTTTCCAGTTACACCAAACGCGAGAGGACCTAACAGATTCTTGAGCACTTTTTACTGAAGGTCAAATGGTTTAGGGTTAGAAGGATAAAGAGGTGGTAAGAAGAATAAAGAGGTGTAACTAACCACTAAAACAAACAGGTAAAGAAAAGGGGAGCCACCAACCAGGGCGATCCAGGGACCTGTACATCCCCCGAAATGATCCCCAGTGAATTTTAGTAATGGTGCTAAAAACATTGGACTGTGGATCGCTCAATGATAAGGGAAACTAAAGCCATTTTGCCGTATGCAGTAAATTGATTTATGGTATCGATATGAACAACTTAAAGAGATCTAAAATACTAAAAATCGGTAGCAACTTTATGACAGTACAATTTGTAAAAGCATTATTGAGTAAAGCGTATATGCGTTTTATAAAAAGATAGAATGTCAGTGTGCGACTGCCGCAACAGAATTGTACTCGGAGGTCCTTGGGAGAAACTATCATCTCAGCGTAGCGAAAAAGTCAAAATTAAATTGAGGCCAGCAAATAAAACAACACGCCGAGGAAAAATTGACCCCAATAGATCCGGAGAAGGTTAAGTTGTGTGCATAACTGCAATGATCAATCATATCTTCATATCATTCTCCGCAGTTCAGATACCGTATATGAAATTTCATATATTCACTTGTGTTCTTCACCATCTACGGGTATATTACGAACTCACAACGTGGCCAGCTCCCAGATGGCTTGATAGCTTAGTTGGTAGAGCACTGCACCGGTATCGCAGAGGTCATGGGTTCGAATCCCGTTCTCTGCTTATCTCTTATTTCTTAAAACTATTTTCAATCATTGATATGGAGAAGTAGGCAGGAGTGGAATTCGCATCGCATTTTAACTTGTATATCGGGGAAAATTAATGTTTGGATCTAAAAGTGTTTTGACTCTCCGAAATCCGCACGTTCCGTTAAGTCAAATGACCAACTCTTCGTGTTCATTGACATCTGTATAACTCATTAAGAGCTGTAAGTTAACTCTTCAGCCGTTATTTGTACCTTTATAACCAAAATGGAGCACCAAATTGTCGATCCTGGCCTAAATTACAACGCCGCGATCTTCACTGGCGACCCGCATTTAGAAATGGAAAAAAAATATATACATCGCAGCAGTCCAAATCGTAGCTCGACTCCGAATTGTAATGCTAGATGATACAGTTCTTTCACTTAAAAGGTTTGTCCAGTTTTGATAAAATAAGCTAAAATATGAATCACGAATAACCTAAAAATGTTTTGACAGCCCTCGAAGTTCAGTCAAGTCTCTTGAGTAGCCCGGTTCCCAAAGTGACGTCACTAGAAGCCCGACCCAGATCCCATTTGGCGCGGTCGTGAACATAGAAATTAACGTTCAAACGCCTGTAGAAAAGCAGGTATTTTATCAATCGATTTTTTTTTTCGCTGAAGTAATCAGGAAAACTAGTAGATTTTATAAAAGGAAAACAAATTGGGGGTTAGTGGCACTTTAAGCTCCCTATTATTAAAAAACATAAGCTTTCGACTGCCGGTCTACTGTCTTCGACGGATGAAAGTTGTGATATGATGACATGAAACGTTAAAAATTAGAATATAGAGATTAATTTACGTAAATATAAAATTACTGCACGTATAAAGAAAGTTCAAAAGAATGCTACAAGTGCTAAAATTAATGTCTGTTTAAAAGAATGTTGTATTGTCTCTAGTGTAGGCCTGAGTTGTTATCAGCCTCAACAGTTTTTTGCCGTGTGACATGATTCCTGTGTCTTTCTGGTGCTATGCTTTCCTTTGTCAATGATTGTTGAGTTGTCAAAGTCAGTTACGTGGTCAAAAATCCATGCGTGTTGTGCAACGTTGGAACCTTTAGCACATTGTTTTATCCGTCGACGAGAGTAGACCGGCTGCCGAAAGCTTACGTTTCCTTTTCAAATAATTTTTACCAGAGAACGCTAAGTTTTATATTATCATGAAAATTAGTAAACTTCATCACCTTTAAAAATCTCGTACTGATTATGACGTAACCACGTAGAAGTTAAGCACGAGTGCGAAAAGAAATCTACTGAAAAGAAAACAACGAGGTTTTCGAGACAGAAATGGAAATAAAAAACAGGAGATCTAAATCATCAAATCAAACTAAATCTCTAAATCAAAATTAACAAACGTTGCGAAAACATAACATAGGAACGACAAATGCCTACAACGGCGGACTCAGAGCCCGAAGGGGGCTGGGTACTTCCTTATGTGGGCTATATAGGTATGTGCGGCCCCAAAAGGGTAGGGTTTTTCAGCCGTTTTGGTCAAAACTCGATTTTGACCATTTTGGTCTTAAATAGGGTATGGTTTTAGCACTCTTGTCCTGAATTGGAAAGAGAAGAAGCTACTTTTTCATTATTATCATTAAGACCGTCAACAAAAGTCCTTCATAACTTGTGTTTAGGGCAACTGTTCCAGCCGCAACGGTCATAAATAGGGAATCGAAGTTTTGGCCAGGTCATAAATAGAGTAGCAAACATCGAAGATTTTGGTCATAAATAGGGTATGGGTTTTGGGAAGTGGGCCGCACACCCCCATCCATATTTTCTGGGAGTACCCACCCCCGCCCACCCCTCACCCCCCCGGGACTCAGAGGGAACAACAGAATATGATCAGAATCATAATCTCTTGGAGGGACATAAGCCAGAGATCGAAAAACACATACCATGAAAAGCGACACGTGGCACTATAAAAGACAGCACGGCACACGCTAAACTTGTAAGGCAGCACGCGCCGTGAATGACGAATGTTTTAAAAAAACCGATCTTAACCCGAGAGGTGACTCACGCAGTTAAAAAAATGACTTTAGATCCGAGTATAGTAAAAAACTAAAATGGAGGTGACACACACCATGAAACTAACTTAGAGGCGACACGCCATAAAGACAATTTGGGTTGAACGCGACATATGCGCAGAAAATCAGCTGGTATAAATAAATGCTTTTATTATTATGTTAATACTATAGATGCACGCCATTTAAGACAGTAATTCAATCTATCAAAAACAAGCTTGGAAGGCGACACATGACATGAAAACTAAGTTGAAGGCGACTTGGTATTTCTACACAGAGAACGAGCATTCTCAGCAGGTTGAATGGAAATTTGGTGTACTGAACGGAAAGAATTTCTGACTGCCGGTTATATAGTTTTTTGAAAAGCCATGCCCGTGAGTCACACAAAGCTTGGCCAATTTGTGAATTAGTAGTAGAAGTCTTTATTAAGAAATCAGTCACAACATACGTGTGGCTTTACAATAAATAACAAACTAAGCTATCACATGTATTACAAGAAAGATTTTAGGAATTTTGCAGTTTTTGCAAACCCACAACACTGTATAGAATTGTTTTGTGTTTCTGACCAAAGATCAAAATACTCAAATACACCGTCGGGAAGTTTCAAATAATAGCGACAATTTTTGTGGAAATCGAATCAAATTTTTGACTGCCGGGTGTCTAGTTTTTCGAACAACCTTGCCCGTCAATTGAGGTTTTATAGTACTGCATGCCGAAGCTAAGAGAATTCGTCCACTACAAAACCAAAACATTTTTTAGCGGAGCTCCGGCGACCCGAAGGGCCGCCAAGCGGAGCCCCATACCATATAGGGAAGAAAAGGAAACCCATGAATTGATTTTCTCATGGTTATCATGGCTCGCGGTATTGCTCGTGGGCGCGTACGCACGACGACGGCGACGACGACGACGACGACGATGACGACGACGATGACGACGACGACGACGGAGTCGCGCAAGATGGCGGCCATACTCCAGCTAATAGGTTGACAGAGACATGC